ACGCGTTTCAGAAAGGCGGGGCATAGAGGAGAAACAATAATGTACAGTATGTGGAAAATAATGAGTTTTTTGAACCTTAAAACGCATAAACACATTTCATTACACCAAATACACAAAATACTGTTCTTTTTAGCAGCATCATATGACCCCTTTAACTGGCAGCATTCCTCCAGTTTTCAGACAGGAGGTTGTCCAGATGAAGGTCAAAGGGATTACCTTTTTAGCCATTGCAAGATAAGTTGGTCATTCCAAATCTGTGATTTCATGAATATTGCAGGTTTACAATGACACTAATTTATTCAAGACCCCCAAAAAGGCTTGAGGTCCACGTAAGACAAATGCACGAGAAGAGAGGATAATGCGGAGAATCTCAATGGGCAATCGGTCCAACACTGCAGCTGGAATTGCTTGCCAGTTCAGTTTAAGAGAAGTCGAACTGAAAGCACATTCTGCAGTGACCAAGCCTCTAATCAGCAGAAAGAATCAAAAGGCTACACTGTTAGCGATTTCTGTAAATTACACAGGATTTAACTGTAATATGAACTGTACTTTACTGTAAAACAGTTACACAGTATGTTATTGTATTTTAAAATTGCATTATGGGAAATATCCTCTTGGCGCCATTAAAATACAGTATTTTTCATTTACTGTAAATCCAAATACAGTAAAAAAAAATGAGCGGGAAACCTGACCAATGACAGAAAGGCTTTTTTTTCTGCTTGGAGAAAGAAGAAGAAGAAGAAGAAGAAAAGGAAGACGCACACTGGCCAACAAACTGAGCTTTTAATGGTACAACTGTGTAATCGCTTGGCGCTACCCATATATATATAAGTATATAAATGTACAGCATGCATTTACTGCTAGCGTAAAACCCGCAATGTTTGTCTGCAAACACCTTTAGAGAAATAATATGCATTTATGAATCATGCCAAAGCGCGAACTTCAGGTTTTCGTGTGTGCCTGCATGTTCTTAGCCTCTCAGCACTTCAGTCGCACACGTAACGTTACCGCAAACACAGAAAACCCACAAAAATAGTGAATAGATCTGAACAACACAATCTGAATTCTAGATGCACCGTGGAAGGCTGTAAGGTTGGGTTGAAACAACCCAGCATTTTTTAGAGTGCAAGTAAATTATGATAGAATTGTAATTTTTGGGTGAATCTCTTTGAACTAATTAGAAAGGCTCCAACATTGACATATTTTTTACTGACACAAAATCAAATGTGAAATGTTTTTGCAAAGCTATAAATAACACAATAAAAAAAAACATGAACACGATAAATTATTATTATTATAATTTTTTTTTAGGAGATTAAATTCTACACAGCAAAAAATGGATGCTTGCGATCGAAGGCAGTCTTCTTTCCTGTGATTGACCTACCAGATATGTCCTCTGCATTTGCTGTTCTCTTCGGTTGCTATTATGTGCATAACATCAAGTACCAAGTGGAAGCAGCCACTACTTTGGAGTTTATTCAGATGTAAGTACATCTAATGAATTATTTCTTTTATGTTAAGGTTCATTGCGAGGATCAGTCCTGTCAACAGCAAGTGCTCTGCAAAATTCCAGATCAGCAAAAGAAGTGGGAAGATGGTGCAAAGGAGAAACTCTGGCCTGAACCCTCATGTGTCCTCCTTCATTAAGGAGTTT